CAACACATTGCCGGATGTTCGAATGACTACCACCGCGAGATGCTATCATTGCGGATTGACGCAGCTTACCCACGTTATCGGAAGAAGCAACGCCGCAACCCCGATTTGCCCCGCAAGACCCGTCGAGACATTTAGAACGAGCTAGAAACAATGAAGCCTATCATACCTCACGAATTGTGTCGATTCATTGGTTTGCTGATTGCCAGAACGAAAGCTCCAAGCCGCAAGAAGCTGAACAACCACTGGAAGACTACTGATGTTGGTGCGATATCGCGAGGATGTTTTGGCTCGGTGCTCCCAAGAGATCTGTTCATGGAGATATCCAGAACCTTGCATTTCAACTCGAATCAAGACCCTCGAGCACAAACCGATCGTGCATGGAAGATAAGGAAGGTGGTGGAGGTGCTTCAAAGAACATTTGCATGTGGGTTCGTAGCGCCACCATACTTGTCGTTTGATGAAGCCGTGTTACCAAGCCGCTCATCGTTCAACAAGATACGCGTGTACATGAAGTATAAGCCCCCACCAGTGGGGCACAAAGCTCTTTATGCTTTGCTGTGCAGCCACCGCGTACTGCATTCGCTACGTGATTTTTTTTTGGTTCACAAAGTTGTATAACCTGAATTATGCAGTTTACTAATTATCATTTGTTTTCTTAATGCAGAATATATTCAGTTTTGAGGTCTACTGTGCAAAGAAACAACATGCCAGGATGCGCACAAGCCCGATATGAAGTCAGGACCTGCTGCAGTAGTGCGAAACTTGCTAGAGGTGTTTGGGAAAGACGCACGGAAACATGGGATGAGGCTGGTTGTTATTGACCGCTTCTACACGTCAGTTGCATTGCTATTCAGCTTCTTCTTATGGGATTCTATTGCGTGTGCACAATTATGATGAATCGGCTGGGGTAATGCAAGGAAGTCATTTAAAAGAAGAAGAGCCGTCCACTGACAATTCCTCGTGGATCTTTCAAGATTGCACGCTCGAAACTTGTACCAGACATGAAAGCGATTAACTAGTGGGATTCCAGACCAGTGTATTTCCTGTGCACCGGAGGAAGCGCTGAAATTGACAGAGTGGGGCGACAGGATGGAGCTGAGAAGGTGGAGATCCCGTACCCGAGAGTGGTGAAAGACTACCATGCCTTCATGGGAGGCGTAGATGTACATGATCAGTTGCGATTGCAGTGCTACTCTCTACAGCGTGCACTTCGGTTCAAAAAGTACTACAAGGCGTTGGTGCTGGGGTGACCGATTTAGCCGTTATCAACGGCTACATCATTGACAAGGCATACCACAAAAATAAGGCTTCGCAGCCCCTGACGCACGTCAAGTACATGATCAAGCTCCATCTGCAACTCACGCAACTTCAACCCACTGACATGTACGAAGGCAATGCGTTCGGTACCCAGCTTCCTTCTGCTGCACCGCGCTACGAAGATATTCCTGTCGGTCCCAATCAGAGGACGAAGTATGCGGCACAACAGGTGAACGAGTGGCGCGATAAAAGAGAGCAGTCAAAGCGCCGTCAGAGAGCATGCAAGGTTTGATCTACGCTACGCCACGACTCCAAGCGAGCGTCTACGACGACATACTTCTGTGGCGACTGCAACGATGTGGGTCCTATCTTCCTCTGCATGCGTGCTCGGCGAAATGTGCGGGGTGTGGCCATGACTTGCTGGTATATTTGGCACAAGGAATGGGTGAATGGCACTCAAGTTCCTGTGGAAGACGCGAAGCCAATCCGAGTCCATCGAAAAGGAGAAATGCCAAGCGCTCCTTCTACTCCTAGAATCCCAGCTTTTCGCAAGAGACGCAGCACAAGCCCGTAGTTGCTATCATGCATATTAAGCTGTCCATTAACCTGCATGTATTCAGCAAGAAAATGATTAGTTTCACATTTTGATCGGTCACATGTAAGCCTGCACCTAAAGCACCTGTTGAACTCGAGTGGTTCCTTCTGGTCATTGCACAGGCACATCCTAAACTGTATCATCTTCGCCCTACTTTTGCGAAAAACGGAGTGTGTCCAGTGATTGCTCCACCGGCTGTATTTGGTTCATTTAGATTTTGTATTGCGCAAAGAACACAATTCGATCGCATCAAAAGCTTGCGTTAGTTGTAGAGGTGACACACCAACTTTGAATATGAGTTTTCGTATGGGAAGTACCGATTTCTAAATTTTGGAAAATGAGGGATGCAGGTGTATTCGTTTCTGTCCTAGGGTTCAGCGAGCTGTCCTGTTCTTTTCCGCACTACGTAGCATTATTCGACATGTCGGGCTACATATTGATCAGTTATGCAGCTTATATGCCACATTAGCATGGCTTTTTTCGCAAAGGCAATACGGGACGATAAAATGGTTGAATCTGTTCACCAGTGATGTGGCCAAAACTAGCGCGTCGAGGACC